GACAAATATTTTTCTCAATCTATAGTGTATATGATATTTGGCTAAGTCAATGGGATTTTGTTTCGCTATAAAAAAAAAAAAAAACAATGGTAGCGATTAAAACATCCAAAGCAAAACAAATTGGAAAGGAATTGATATTAACAATTATACATTAGGATAATAATAAAAAGTGTATATATATTATTATATTTTTATCAACCAACAAAACAAAATTTATATTAAATAAGAGTACAAGAAGTATTAGATTCTATTATGAACATGACTTAAAATTCTCTCAACATGCAAAATAATTAAATCATAAACACATAAATCCAAGCTAAATCATGTTACTTGATCCTGTACTTGTCTTGCTTTCTTCACAGCATATATAACATGTATATATTATGAATTAAGTAAATTTTGATTCAAGATGTATAAGCCTAATTTTGACTTAGGGATTTCAACTTTCTTCCAAAACCCCTATTTTCAGAAGGGAGTAATATCATATGAGACTTGAAAGCAAAAGCATTCTTGACTAACATTATTAGGAGCTTTAATTACATATAATGCTGTCTTGTACCAATCCAAGAATTCATAGACAAAGAGTTTAGACCCCAATAAAGTAAGGTTCATATGTTGAAACCATTTTACAATAAATGCACATGCACTGTACTTTTCCCGGGATAAAGTCCATATCCTTTGTACACATAATACTGCCCTTAAGCCAATCTTCCATTGAATTCACATTGTATTAAATCTCGGATATCTTTTGCACCTATGAACATAGAATCTCCAAACTCATTTGTCTAAGAATTGATGGTTTCTTATTATAAAAATGAGGAAATTAGTTTTTAGAGCATGCTTCCTAGACCAGAAAATTCAAACAAAGTACTAAGACTTTTGAAGCAAAGAGACTGAATGAATATAGAAGCCGTTCACTTTTTGATTTTTGAATGGATAGAAAGGTCACTTTAACCAAATAGAGACTAAGATTTAAGATCCTAAATTTCAGTTTTATTTTTTTTACCTTGTCAGTTAAACAATCAAAAAAGAAAAGGGAAAAATAAAAATGTTGAAATTCACTCAGTAGCTGGCAACATGGTTGAGAAGACAACTTACAGCAAATCATAAATGCTAAAATTGAAACCTTATAATTGGCAACATAATTGAGAAGTCAAAACTCACTTATAAAATTAAAATCATTGGAAATATGTAAAAGACGTACTTTAAGAAAGATATTCTTTTTTTTCCTTTTTTTTCTTGGTACAGTAAGTATTCTAAGTTTGGTTGTGTTACCTACTATAACTATAATAATAATTCTTATAAATTTATTATGAAAAAAAACTTGTTACTAAGAATTTATTAACCTACGTGCAGTGGCGGAGTTAGGATTTGGGAAGAGGGCAGGCAAATTTTGGGAACAAAGGGGCGTTAAATTTGTGATACTTAGATCAAATTTGTGTTTATAAAGTATAATTTTCTCTGATTTGTTTTAATTGTGTTAATTTGATTTTTGTATAAAGTTTGATTGATTATTTTATTAACAAATAAATGACAACTGAAAATTTTTTCCTTTCCAAATATAGGGCTTATTTGGTACAGTGGTTAAAATTCAACGGACAGCGGATAGTAAGTAGCGGATAGCGGTAGCAGATAATGGGTGACGGTTAGCGGATAACAGATAGTGGATGGCGGATAGCAAAAAGTAAGTAGCGGATGGTAAATAACAAATTCGATAAATATAACTGTTTGGCTATACAATAGTTAGCGGTTGTTGTTTAACATTAAATGATTAATAAGAATATGTTTAAAAACAAATAAGTGTATTTTTTAAA